AACATTAATTGAGAAAATGTAAGATTATTACAGTTAACTTGAGAAGTGTTCATATGGATGATACTCCACTCTTAGAATGACCTTGCAGTAGTGATTAGTTATTGCTATTTGCTAAAAGGGTCTTGTTATCAAATATTCGGGGAATCATTGCAATAATCTTAGTTCAGCCTTTGCATTTCTAGGATGTTTTATGAAGCTCTAAGAGAGGATGAAACATGCAGGGTTTACAGAACCAATTTGATTTTGACCTTGGGACTACTTTTCTTAAAGAGCAAGCAGCATTTATTTTTTGGAAATTTTCTTCAATAAAGAGCAAGATACATTTAGTTTTTGAAGACTTTCTTTAATATTATGGAAAATCACGGTCATGTACTTTGACACGCCATGAAGGGGAAGCTCATGATTAAATATGGGGGATATTCAGCAAATTCTAAGCTTCACAACAAAATGAGAAAATAATTCCTCACCTCTTCCTTAGCATTAGCCAAGCAAAGGACTGAGAAATCTGAAACTCACTTGTCCTGAAAAAACGTACGCTTCACATTTCTAACATATTTTTTTGATATTAATATTCATTACAATTGAATCATACATTTGTAGAGGATAGAAGGATGATTGAAACCAAGTTATTTCTCGTTTGGTCTGGCCTTGAAAGATGATATGGTTAGTGCTGTACTACTCTATACAGAATATAACAAATCATTTTCTTTTACCCTTTTATTAGAGTGGAAAAAACTTCAAGTCTTATCTTTAAAATGACTGTGACTAAAATTTTATTTATTTATTTTTTAAATTTTAAGTATACTCCAAGGTAATTTATTTGCATGATCCATATAAATAGTATTTAAGCTTATGTTTAAAAAAAGGGGCGAAAGTAAAAAATTAAAAGCACAATTTTCTGGCTGTTTTTTAAATGTATCTATAAATTATAAAATATATTTCTAGACAGATATTCAGAGTTTAGGTGGCTTGAGTTTTTATTTTAATTTTATGACTTATAAAAGGGTTATAGAAATTTATGAATAATAATCCATTAGATGCCTGTTGTCTTACAGTCACTGTGCCATGTGCCAGGTGTTAAATAAATAAAACAAAAACTTCCTGTCCCCAAGGATCTTACAGCCTAATAGGAGACCTATATTGCAATGTGATTACCCCAATCAATATTTAATATTGTTTTGTTAAGATTTATAAAGAAAACATATATTTCTGATGTAAAAACAAACTAAGAGAAAGACAAACCTAAAGTGTCTTACAGGTCAAAGAAAAATCCTGTCCAGTTCCATTTCTCTCTCTCCCAACCCATTCTCCACTTTTCTCCACTGTGATCTCTTCCTAGTGAGGCTGACCTCTGTAACGGCACGAATGAGCTCCCCTGGACTTTGTCTTCAGGTTGGCTTTGGCCGATGCATTACAGCAGTAGCAACTTAGAAGGCAAGAAGGATGCAACAGTGATCTTTAAGGTTGCAGTTGTTGCCTTGCCTCACTAAGAAAGGTCACAGCTCCTTTGAAATTGTGCTTTCTATACCTTGACCCTCCATGTGTTCTATAACAGCTCCTATTCCCTTACCGAGAGTAATGGCTTTCCCCTAACCCTAGGTCCCCTTCACTATTACTGATTTCCTAAATCTACCTATACTTTTGTAAATGGTCCCTTTATCAAACTTGCCTCAAATAATCTAATTGGAGTATGCTATTCTATTTACTGCCAGTACTGAGAATGATATACCCCAAAAGTAAGCTAGTATTTGAGATATGAAGGATAAGTGAAGGAAACGTTTGAAGGGAAAATATTTTAGGCAAAGAAAACATATGTACAAAGGCCTAGAGGCCAGGTCAAGATTGTCAAGTTAGAGGTTGCTAGAGAATAGTTACAATGTCTTGGCTGGAAAGGTATTCATAACCCTAGAAAGAATTGCAGTTATATTTATCTGGTTTGGAGTCCAAGGATTTTAAACATGAGAATGGCAAAATTAGGTATATAAAATGAATATTGAAGAGGGCCACTAATTAATAGAGGGGGAACTACTGTTAGACTCTCACTATATTTCAGACAAGAGGTAATATTGGATTTGAATAATGGGTCTTCTGGGACAACATGTAAAATTTACTGTTGTGATTAAAAAATTTGATCAGTTGAATGTGGGCAGTGAAGGTGAGTCAAACCTGATACTTAGATCCTAGGAGAAAGAAAAGCATGATTGTTTTTTTAGGGTGTGGTAGAGATAGAGATTATGAATTCATTTTCGGGTATCTTAAGTCTGAAATGTGTGTGATATCAAAATGGTTATGTCAAGAGTAAAATTACATAACACATATGAAACCCAAAGGAGAGCTCTATGCTTGATATAAAATTTTCAGTCAATACTTGGTCATTTATATTGTAAGTCTGGGAGTATCTGAAGAATAAAATGGATAGAGCTGAAGACCAAATGAGTATGTGGAAGAGAGTCAAGAAAATCCTCCAGCAGATAGAGCAAAAGATTTAGAGACAGTTAAAGATACTGAGGCTATATTTAGAATATCCAACATCTAGATATTAGGAGTTTCAAATTTAAAGAACAGAGCAATGAAGGAAGATAATGAAAACAAACATAGAAACAAACAAACAAACAAATAGAAGGGAATTTTCCTGAGCTGAGGGCTTGTCTTTAGATTGAGAGTCAAAGTAAGCAGCAGAAAAAACAACATAAACTGGAGTTGGGGGGGTGGGGATGGGAAAAGATGCAACCTGGTGAGATATCTAAAAGCTAAAGCGGGTCACTGAGATAGAAAGGAAAATTAGTGTCAGGGTACAATAGATACCCAAAACAATCATGCCCTTAAAGTTCTGGGAGAAAAAAATTTGAACTTAGAATTCTATAGCCAGGAAAGCCATTGGTCAAATGTGAGGACATGAAAATGCAATTCTGAGCAAGCAAGAACTCAAAAATGTACCTCCAATGTAGTTTTCAAATTCAAATATGAAACACTAAAATGTTGAATAATTTTGAGTAAAGTAGCAGTATAAAAAAAACATGATTTTTGGAAAAACAGTCAAATCTCTTACTTGTAAGATAACTGAAGAAAGAGGCAGAGCTAAACTGACCTTGGAACACTTGCAAAATCTCTTCAAATTAGTATGTAATACTAACTCAAATTGTTTATTCATGATGAGTACATTTCATGAAAGTAACTTGCCACATATGTAAAATATTTAAATGGAAAAAGTCCTTTCTTCAATTCTTTTAGAGAATTATATTTAACTTGGGATTTGGTGTTAAATTTTATCATAATAATAATGCTAATAAATAGGGAATTTTTTATTTTTGTTTAGAATCCAATATGAAAAAATTGTGTATGATTCTTAACTATTTTTTACTTTCTAGAAACTTAGCATCACTTAGAAACTTTAAATTGAAACCAGTCATCACATCTTAATATTTTTCATAAACAACTTTTTTAAAAATTAGAGGGATGATTTAAGAGCAAATAACTTGCTGTGAAAAAAAACACTTATCTATATTTTAGTATTTCTGCCACCTTTATTCACTTTATTTTTTTAAAACTGCTGAATTGAAGTACAATTACATTAATACTTTACATACAACTCTGCCTGATTTGAATGGCTACTGTGGATTTTCATACAGATCAACTTATTGGTTTTACTTTGGGTTTGGTAACAACTTGATAGTGAGTCATCTGTATACTTCAACTTTCCTTAAGTGAAGTTCAGGTATTATAACTGGGAATAGCTGATAAATATTTATTGCAATTTCCTGAGCCTATAATTGTGAAAACCACGTCCAGCACTAGAAAAATACCCTGAGTTAGATTGTGCTCAATGGTAGTATCACAAATAAGAAAAACTATTTCTGGTTACCCCAATTTGGCTCATACCAAAAACTAAACATTTTAGAGGTATGATCACTCGTTCCCACCAAAGGGTTACACTTCATTTGGTGAAAATGTGCAATTCATTTTTAGAAATTAGAAGGCTGGCGTAAATGATTCTATTATCTCAACAGCATGTTCAACATTGTGGAATCAGAGTAGTGTTGTGGAAAGTTCATGGGTTTCACCTCAAAGGCAAGTTTCATCATGCCTTTAAGAAGCAGTCAGGACTTAGGCAATTTCTTAACTGCTTTGGGCTATTGTTTCCTCATCGGTAAAAAGGAGAGAGTAATACGTATCTCAAAAGTAAGAGTAAAAAATTCTAATACAGAATGGTGCGTTTTCATCCTTTATACCTGGTCAAGAATAACAACAGGATTGAGAAAAAAATTTCCTTTTTCATAGAATCTTTACTTCTGTTGCAAAGAAAAGGCAAGAACAGTCTATATGGTGACAAAGAACTCAGTTATTTACATGAGAATATACACTGAAATATTAAATAATATCCCTGTAATAGTGATTTTATGCATAAGCAGAGGAGTTATGGATTATTTCCACAGGCAGGATAATGTCACTTTTTTATGATGTAAATTTAAAAAGTACAAATATGATTCATTTCCTTGAATACAGCAGATTGCTTGCTATGCTCTTTATAAAAAGAGACCAATATAATATAATATTTAACAGAAAAGAAGGAGGGTGTGTACTTAATGACACCCCTTCCTGTGATAATAAAAGTCCTCCACCCTATGCATGGTGATGAGAAGGTCTTATCCTGGTGCTGGGCAGTAGAAAGTCTCCTTCTGAAGGTAATGTGCATAGTTTTCTTTCTTTCTTTGTTTTTCCCCAAATGATGTTGTATTACACTGTCACAAATCAACTCCTAATTAGGTTTGGACACAGGGATATTCATGTCCTACAATCCTGGTGTCAATCTCTACCTGCAAAAATTATTTGAATACGAAGACTCAGGAATATTCTTTGAGGAAAACTAACACTGATCCATCACCTTTTAAATATTTAGCATAGGAAACTCAAACATTTTATCAGAACTAACTGAAATCATTATACAAAGGCTGTAAGTTCAAAGTCTTGGAGGAGGGTCAAGCATGACAATCGGATTTAACTGTATTCAAAGGGTTTTTTATTTTTTGAAAAAATATAAAATTTCATATCTTACACTACAAAAACATGTACACAAACCAAGTGCATATAGAAGTTCAAATGGGAAAAAATACAGAAATGCTAATCCTTTCTTGAGTTAACTCTGTGGCAGGGACTTGAGATATCCTGATTACTATTATAGAATAAGATAGCTATACAGATGCTTCTGACCTGCCTGAAACTAAGAGATTTCGATAAACATATTAACAAATGACTTGAGTCTAAGTATTACTCTCAGACTATTATAACTGTAATTTACACACTTTTTAATAATTAACTGTAAAACTACAGCAGTCTAAAGATTCACAAAAATGTTGACCACTGAAACTTCTACTGTTAATACAGTCCCCAGCCCAAGTAAACATGACATATTTTGCCATCTTCAATTTTTTTCCATTAACATTTATGAGAAACAGACAACAAATGATTCTGATTATTATAAACAGGCTATTTTTTAGAAAAGAACTGGTGTCTTCTCCTAAGCAAAAATTAAGTGGTCATTCTGAACAAGAACATTCAATCATTTATGTATGAAAAGACCTTTACATAAACAAATAAGAAATTAAAAGAAAGTTCTTATCTTTTGATACATTACTATAAAATTAACAGCATAATACAGAAAAAATATTTCATGTAACCAGCTGTGCTACAGAGTTGAAAAAATGATGACTTATTCTAGTTATTAATTTCAAATCAATCAATTAATTGATTCTGTTTATTCATCATCAACAACATCATCATCATTATATTGTACCTACTTTTTATTTACTTTGAGATTAAACATCTGGCAGAACATAAGCAAAGACAGTTCGCTATCATAGTTAACTTTCTTTTTTTCTTATTTTTAGAAATAACAAAATAAAAAAGGATCTTATTCTACTATGCAACATCATACATCTAGTAAATATCTAACACCTGACTCAAATAGTGTTTGCTATCCAATGTACCATTACAGCCAAAAACATCTTCCAAAGGTGAGTATCTCTGCTTGTGCTTCCAAGAATCCACTTTAAATGGGAGAAAGGATAGCAATTTTTTTTAAACTTTCTCAAGGAGACTAATTAGCAGACATAGAAACACATAAGTGCTCAACTAATAGTAACATTCCATTTCAAATTTCACATGTGAAACTGTCTTCATCATTGCACACTGGTTAAAAAGATTTTACAAACTGAATTAAGGATGTTCTGTATTGTTCAAGCAACTCTGCAACTAATAATGCTGGCCACACTTTAGATAAAATATCGGAATATGCTTTTACGGTAATCCTATAGATTTAGGACACTGACTTGGTGGTTAAAACAAAAGAAATAAAAGACTATGCACATGAATGTTCTAAAAAATGGAAAAATCAAAATTTTTACATTTTTACATAAAATTAATACATTTCAAAAAGAGCAACTGATTATATGTCATAGTACATGTGAGAAAATGGCAAGATTAGAAACAAGCTATGATTGATATGAATTAGAATCAAGCTATGAGTGATTTTAACACTTAAGTTAAAAATTACTCCCTGCTTGGACCTATGTTTCAAAGTTGAACACTGAGAAAGACTCATGTCCTGAAGATACTGCTACTTACAGTTACAATAACATCACATATTGACAGATCTATTACATGTGCTAAAATTATTGATTCTATGCTACATTTTTGGTAGTCTGGTAGGTGACAAAATGAACCACTAGGATAAGATATCACACAATCAAGATTTGTCAAACCTTGCCCTGGGTTAACAGCCTCACTGCATTTCACGAGAGTTTCGCTCTCTGTTTGTTCCATTTCTCACATTTATAAATGAGATTGGCACTTTCCAATTGGTGACATATCCAGTGGTGAACAGACATTTAAGAAAGGCATTCTTTCCTCTTTGGGGGGTGGAGTACATCTTATTAGGAGGTGTCTTTATTCCTTCTAAAATTATAATGACATTTCTTAGAAATTCTCAACCAAATTGAGATATGGATGAAAGATACATGGCTTTTTAACTTTTATTTTGTTTCACTTTCCAAAATGAATACCAACAGTGCAAAGAAGGAAAATAAATTTGATCTGAATTATTTCATATTCTTCTTTTGTGATAAAGAAAATATACATTGTAACTTCAAATTCTAGTCACTTAGATATGCTCCCCCTCCCAGTTACCTTTGAACGTACAAAGTTGGAAAACAATTCAGAAAATATTTTTGTTCTGCCTAAGCAACTATGGCTAGTCCGCCAGCTCTGAAATGTTTGGTAGTCTTCCTTTTAAATCAGTAAGTCTATTCTGATTTTGAAGTTTCTCAATTGTTATTTTTTCACTTAGATTGGAATACTTTTACAAAACTCAGTAAAGTGCAACAAAATCTCCAATTATTTTGTTCAGAAGAAATTAGTTTTGTTAATTTTCTGTTTATTGAAATGAACAAATGCATCTTTAATAATGATGATGCCTATTTTCTTGTGATTTTATCAAGACAATATTAAATCCATCTCTCTCAACTGTCCCTAGAAATTTCACCAAACTAATAACAGTATACTCTAAGCATAGTTTGTGTGGAGTCTTATTTGGACAGAACTCAATACATCATTTACAAATTTTTTAGACATTTTTTCTTTTCTTTTTTTGTTGTTCTTATTTTGATTTTTCCTTGTTCTTTAGCAAAGAGTTACTTTACTGCTTAAATAAAGTGTGGGCAGGATAGGAAGAAGTTATTTCCAAAAAAGTTTATTCTTGTATGTGCTAATATTCAAGTAGAATAGTGCTTTCAAAAGATAGAGTATTATTAGTACAACACAGATATATTTCCTGTGGATTTCACTAATCCAGGCTACTCTGATATATGATTTCTATTAATAATCATGAGTAGGCTATGTCTTATTTAAATGCTCTACTCCTTGAATAATCACATGCCATTCCATGATTTTTATAAAATATAATACAAAGATTTTGGTTATCTCACTCAGGAGCTCAGTTTCGAACAATTTCTCATAAATTTTATAATTTGTACCACAGATAGTCTTCACCAGGTGTGGTATATAGAACATATATAAGACATTTTTTATATTCCTTAATAAGTCCAATTAAATAATACTTCGGATTGATTAACCAAAATAAATGTAATGCCATGTAACTAAATGCAAAATTAAATTACCAAATGAATACACAGCAAATCAACAAATAAAACTTAAGTCTTGAAATACAGAAAATTCTTAAGAAAAAAATGTGTGTGTATATGTCATCATTCCATTGCTTGCTGCCTTAGTATCAAAATTTCTAGAGCTGAGCCACAATGGAAATGGTTACAAAGGATTAACGCTTAAGGGTGATGCTTAGTGCTATGTGCCTGGATTTAACAACATTAACAGAAACCTGCACAGTTAAATCCTTCTACATCCCGCTGAAAATGTGCCCTTTAGTGTCAACTTTGCTTGACAAGATATTTTCTGGGACTCAGAAAGGTGAAATTTCTTACAGGGGTGCAAGATTAATGGCTAGAAGAACTGCATTGTCACAGATATCACAAAGTGTTTTTAAAAAGCCAAAGGGGATTTAATCTTACAGACATTTCCTGTTAGTGAATAAAGAGATTAGTAGCTTTTGGACATATGAGAGGAAAAGAGACACAGGCTTGTGTTAAATTTTGTTTTACTGCTTTCCTATTTCTCCTATTCATATTACACACTGGAACACTTGTTCCTATAGTTGCTAAAATTAAAACATTATTTAAAAATGCAAGCAGAATGGTAAAGCACACATGTGTAAGCACACACACAATTCCAACTTAAATCAGTTCCTGGGTACATTGCAAATTATACAGTATATACACATTTATTACCTAATTGCCTCTAGAAGAGCAACTAAAAGTAAATTTTATAACACAGAAAAATAAATATACACCCTGTTTTGTACTTTTCCTTAATCAAGCAAATGTTTATACACTAGTTTCTATAACTTAACGCTTTGTAACAGCATTTTAAAATTACAAAAGAAGATATCTATTAAGAAATTATCTAATCATATTGCTCTTTAATACACTTACATAGACGATTAAAACTTGAAGTAAACGTCAGTAAACTGCAGCTTTTGTTAGCCCATAAATGGCTGTAAAACTTTTCCATTCAAGTAGATCCCTGGAAGTTTTAAAAGGGACTGCCTCAATTCAGTCTATAAAGGTGCTATCTACTTACATATTCCACGTACAAAATTTCGTACAAGTAGTGGGAAGGATTTTGTTGTTGCAACATAAGATAATGTTTAACCTCATGTTCTTATTCTAGGCAGGTTATATTTGCTTCATGAAAAATGAAGACACTAAGAGGAAGATAAGGAAATTTTAGTAAAATACTGATTACAAATTCTGTGGCTGAGACAAATGTCCTCCTAAGGTTTAGATATCACTGTTTTCCCTTTTTCCCCTTTTTTGTTAAAATAAATCTCAGGGCTGTTTACAAAGTGCAGAATCATTCACTTGAAGAAGTGATATTAAAATGAAGTTACAATGGCACCATCCCGTTTACCAGCTGCACCTTCATTTCTTGAAGGCTGTTCATGATCTTCTTCTGGTGACCGACAAGAGTCACTCCAAGCCGTCTCAAATCCCTGCATGAAGAAAGCACACATTGGATGTATGTATTGATTCAATCAGTAGCACACCTCAATATTTCACGCTGGCAAAGGGGCAAATGTTTTACAGAAACTAGTTAGATTACAATCCCAATTGAGACACACACAATCCAATTTCCAAAGGTAGTTTCTAAAACTGTACCTCGAAAATCTGTAGTCAAGGAAATATTGATATCGAGGAGTGATATGGTACATATTTGCCCCTGCTTGTGGACATCATTATTTTAGTGGCACAGAGTGGTGGAAAAACAAATTTGCACATTTTACCAAAGAATATTTAACTTACAGAGTACAATTTCATTGAACAGTTTTGAAAATGTGGACCTACAATATGCACAAGCACTTAATTTTTTGCTAAAAGAAGTAAGCATAAAATATACTTTAAAATTTTATAGCTAAGCAGTTAAAGACCAAACTCTTCAAATGACTAATTCTATACAATCATTTTATATAACAGATATCTTTAGGGGATAATCATCACTACATTGTTCTTACAACAATATTTTATGTTATTTTTTACTTTAGCCTAAAGAACCAGAGCTTTCTTCCTTTACCAAATGACCTCTAGGCTCTACTGGCATTTAGAGCATTCAGAGAAGATTACATGCTATCAGAAAGTCTTTTCAACCAAGATATTTTTTGTGCACTCTTAAAAAAAAAAGCTTATTATTCAAAAGAAACTTACAAGTGTTTATATTTCTAAACTAATTAATGCATTATGAAGCACAAGACAAGTGCCTATGATTTTTAAATGTTATTTCATAGAATATTTAGAAATGCTATTCCCCTATAGTATGTATTTGGTAAATATAATGATTCAGGTATGTTTGGCAAATGGTATGCATTAATTATAGAAAAAAATGAGTATTAACAATTCATAATCCTAAATGACAGAGATGTTAACCATGTTCATTTCTTTACATACTTACTTTGTTGAACACATTATGATAAATGTGGAATGATTTTGCATTTAGTAAGTATATTAATTTTAGATTTTCTTAGAATTCAATAGAATTGGATAAAAAGACATTAGGATAATTATAGGTAAAATTAAATAGTTTCAGATAACTCAAAGAAGTCTCAATTATCAGAAAATAAAAATTAAATAAAACAATGCTTAGGCTCTATGTGTATTAGTATTAAAAATAATTGTTTACTAAAATAATGTCTTAAGTTTCTTTTTCCCTTAATAGCCTCTTGATTTCTTATGAGAGTCTTTGGAAATGATAAGTAGCATTTTAAAAAAAAGCACTATTGATATTTATGATGGAAGCACGTTTCTTTCTTAGAATGTGAATATTAAACATTAAACTTAGAAATTATTATAACTATGAGATACCAGAACACAACATAAAAATAATAAAAATGGTAGACATGATGTGGGAGACAGTCATCTGCCAAACTTAAAAAGCAGTAAGAATTCTCTTTAAAACAAAGCCACTATTGTTAGTAATGAAGTACACTATAAAATAGCTAATTACAGACTAAACTAGAAATACTTGAGAGTAATCTTATCTCTTTTCAACTAAATCAGGATTTCTCAGTCGTGACCCAGTTGACATGGGCTGGATAATTCTTTGTTGTTGAGAGGGATGTCCTGCGCATTGTAGGATATTTAGCAGCGTCTTTGGTCTCTACCCGCTAAATGCCAGAAACACTGCACCACCTCTGGCCTTTCATTAAGACAAGGCAAAATGTGTTCAGACACTGCCAAATGTCCTCTGACTGGCAAAATTCCCCTCATCAAGAGCCATCAGACTAAATATAAAAATAATAGGTGATCTCCATACTATATGCTAGGAAAATATATAAACCTATGATATAGATCTTTTAAATTTCCTTTTATTGATGAGGAGACAAAGCCTTAGAAAATTTAAATCACTTGGCTAGATGACACAGCCAGGAGGTAACAGAATTAGTGCTAAAACCAGGTACCTGACACTAAAGACCATACTCTTAATTTCCCATTACTCTGAGATATGATTTTGAGCAAAATACTCCAAACTACATGCAACAATTAATTGACCTGTAAAATGAAAACTCTGTAAACATATCATAAAATATGCAACATTTTAAAGGAAAGAAGATATCTAACGAAGGGAACCAAACACATGCTTCTTTGAATGAGGCTATGGTAACCAAATCTATACTTCATGGCAGTTTCTGTTATGGGTTTATCAATATTTTCATGTTTCCACATACAATTTAAATCATGAAGAATTGTGTAGATGTGGGTATTTATGGGTGTTCAATAGCAAACTTTGGACTAAGAAAAGGAGGAAAAAAACTAAAATTTTAAAAGTTTTAACCTGAAAATAATCTCTACTAGAGAATTTAATTAGGACTAGAAATAAAGTTTTAAAAGATATGATTTATCATATGCTTTATAAATCCATGGGTGATACTGATGAATCGAGGTTGGGTACCACTGATGTAACATGAGGGTACTTCAAAAGTTCATGAAAAACTGTATTAAAAGAAAATACAAATCATTCTATTTTTCCAAGAACTTTTTGAATTACCTTCGTATATGTACTTAAATTGCACAATTCATAATTGCTATGCTAATTATTAGAAACAAGCTTTTGAGAATAACCATTAAAGTTTATTCTGAATGGCCTGAAAAAAGAATTATAGGTTTCTCCACTTAAATAGCATGGATGTTTCATATACAATAACTAAACTTTAATTTGAAGTATGTGTATGTGTATATGTGTATGTGTTCCATATTCCAACTCTTGGTTGTTTTGCATAAATATCAAGTCACCAATTTGACATTTTTATTTTTGCTGCCTTAACTTGTTACATTAGATGTAATTATAATTTCATTATCTAGAAATGACTTTACCATAAGAAAGACTCTAGCTCAGTGCTTGGGAATTTAAAATTTTCGTATCTTTATTATGCTAAAGAGTGAATGTTTTGAGAAATTGCATTTGATCAATAAATGTGGCAATAGAGTTTGTATTTATGAGGAAATAAAATTTGTTCTTCTTAACATTTCGTACATATATATTTTTTAAGTTGTTTTTATTTTAATTTTCCCAGTGAACAAAGCATAAAATTTTATTTCAAGATAAATGCATTACCTGACTATCCCTTAGGATGCATATGAAGTTCAGAACATTGAAATTCTCTCTCTCCCTCTTTTCTTTTCCTTCTCTCCCTCCTTTCTATCTCCTCCCACCCCATCTCTCCTTGGGAGAAACAGAATTACAAAAAACATTGCACTGCATTTTACACACTGCCATTAATGATGTGTGTCTTCAAGGTAATGTTGTTTTTCTTTAAATTTGACCTGTCATTTCAAAAACTGTCAAGTTAATGTACAGTGATTTAAACAATAGCATGCTTATAATATATGCAATGTATATATACCTTTATAAATGTGACTTTTGGTGAAAATGTGGGGGAGAAATAAGATTATGCAAGTAAAATTTGTTCTCAGCAGCGAAGCAGTTTCTTTTAAAAGCCCTTTTTAATATTTTTAATGATACTACATATGAGAATTAAAATAGTATTAGAAAAATGTCTATATAATGGTTAAATAACATTTTTACCAAATTGGTAAGTGCATTGAAGTATTTTCTTTTAAGGAGTTTTGCCTCACATGTTTTGCTATTTCCAACAATTCCCACTTTACTACCTAAAGCATATATTAAATGGTCAAGCTAGCAGTAATAGAAATTTGATAAAACAAAGTACTTTATACTTATTGATGAAGTTGCTGTCCTATTTACAATGATTTTTGAAGAAAAATTTGAAAATGGTGCAAGATACACTATTTCATTTCATTTTTCTATATAAGAAATTTTATAGCTAGGCAAAGTTTTAAGTGTGTCCCCTTTATAAATATTATACTAATTTTATCATGACCATATATAATCTTAAGTAATACCCAAGGCCAATTCTAATTATTATAAACTATATTTCAGCATAGGCTTGTGAATATAAACACGATGAAAAAAGTGTTGTTACATAGAATATAGTTTGGATTTTTCTTGACAAAAAATAATTAGTTTTAGAAAAGCTCCAAATATAATGAATTGCCATTGTTGGGAATACATTACAGTATTTTTTCAAACAATATTCCATAATATTAAGCAATGGAAAAACATTAATATTATCATGCCAAAAATAGCAGAATGAAATATAGAGAATAACAACAGGTATCTAGTTGATGTTGCAGCCAACTCTTGATTATTCAGGATTAAATTCACCCATTTGTGGATGATGATTCATTCCCTTAGTCATTCTTCTCCCTTCTGCTTTACAGATTGTTTAGCCATATTACTGGTACTTAGCCCCACCAACTTCGGCTGGATAGGAGAAGGGAGAAGAGAGATTAATGAATTCACTCAACTTCAGTGTTTATTGCTTAGTCTTAGTTTTATTATGCAGTTGCATGTTTGTCATTGTTTGGTTAACTTAGAAGATCCTAATAATCATTTATATAGCTATTGTACAGGTAAATATACAGTCATGCGTCGTTTCATGACAGTGATACATTCTGAGAAATGCATGGTTAGGTAATTTTGTCATTGTGCAAATAGCATACAGTGTACGTACACAAACCTAGATGGTATAGCCTACTACACACCTAGGCTATATGGTACAGCGATTACAATGTTATGGGATAACCATCATATATGCGATCCGTTGTTGACCCAAATGTTGCTATGGAGCACATGACTGTATTTACATTTGGCAAGAAGAGATTTACCCATGTCCTGTTAATGGTTTTCACTGGATGAAACATTGTGAGAGCTAGACTTGCAGTTTTAGCCTAATTATGTACAACATAGAGGATATTAAGTACTCCTATATGTATCTTAAATGTATAATAAATTATGCATACTGACTTTATTATAAGCTAATAAATCTATCTGAATGAATCTGCACAAATTTTGGCTCTAGATTTGGAAAACTTTCATTTCACTAGTTTAAGACTCCATTCTGCTAACTGATACTAATAAGAACCTCTTTAGCTTACACACAATTGGTATAATACTTAAATTCATTGGATTTTGCCCATTCTCTGAATAACCAAAAGTTGACACTATTGGTCTGACAAGAAGTTTCAAACACAGCTGTGATTCTGTCCTTAACTGAAATCTTTGAATTCAATTCGCAACACACCTCAAGGTCATAATTCCCCTATGAAAAATAACTCACTGCACTTACATGATAGTACAGGTTGCACCATCACTGCCACAACAACTGTTCTAATATGAACACCGTATACAGAATAGCAAAGCTTAGGCACAGAGAACAGCAGACAGAAACATGTAAGTTCAGAAACCACTTTCATTGAACGTGCTTTGACTCTACATTTCCTTCCCACATTCATCCATTCATGCATGTACTGGCAAACAATTAATAAATAAAATTCAATCTTTATGAAAGAAAATTTTAACCAAAATATGTGGTTCAGAAAAACTGTATTTTTTATTCGTATATTTCTAAACCCACTATGACAACAAATTTGATGCCACAGATTATAACACATTTTGTTATATATGGGAATTTGATTATTTGCTTTATATTAATTGTTTTACACATTTTCTAAGCATTTATAACAGCTATGAATGTATTCTTCCATTTTCAGTTTCTATTTTGCCTTGGCAATAACTCTAGGAATAATATATTTTTATATTATTATATTACACAGACTTTATAAGATTAATATTCAAATATTGAGTAAAGACCATGTGTGAAAAATCATTATCAGGGTGTTTTCAGGGCTTGTCTTTGTCTTTTGCTGATAATCTATTTCCTTCACCGTTAGTCCTTAGCAATGACTGGCTTTTTTCTTTATTTTTTTTTGATGAAGGACAAGCAAAATGCATAATCCTTTTTTTTTTTTTTTTTGATGAAGGACAAGCAAAATGCATAATCCTTTTTTTTTTTTTTTTTGATGAAGGACAAGCAAAATGCATAATCCTTTTTTTTTTTTTTTTTGATGAAGGACAAGCAAAATGCATAATCCTTTTTTTTTTTTTTTTTGATGAAGGACAAGCAAAATGCATAATCCTTTTTTTTTTTTTTTTTGATGAAGGACAAGCAAAATGCATAATCCTTTTTTTTTTTTTAATTCTTGGCCAAATAAATAACTATAACTCCCTACTTTGTGAGTTATTTAACATAGTGTTTTTATATATTCTCACTAATTAGAAAGAAATGTGGTCAAAAACACAGTAAACAAGAGAACATATATTTAAAGGTGCTGAATGCTCCCAAAAAATTGGCTTTGCTGGAGTTAGGGTCTGCTGGCCCAATTCCTAGTAAGGAAAGTATTAATGATTATAGGCCCAGGAATTTGAAGCAAGCGACATAAAGAAACCCAACATTCTCTGAATGGTAAGACTCCTAATTTCACCTTACTGTTCCAGTCAGAATGAATGAATTAAAAAACAAAATATCTGAAAGCAGGCAACACAGCAAGAGGCAATAGCTGGAGAAGATCCATTGTAAGAAGATAAAAAACATAAAGAGATTTGGGGAATAGAGGGGCAGATAGGAAAGCAAATAGAAAATAATTGAAAGAAAAAAGAAAAAGTGAAACCATAATGCTAAAATAGTCATCATATTTATAGTATTTTGGGGCCCCAAAGATATAAAGTAAAACATAAATAGTTAATGCACAAACGAGTATTTGTAATTATAACCATTCTGTGAAGGGAGAAACAAAAATGTAGTGGATATAACTACATGTATATGAATATGTGCTATTTTAATAAAAAAGAGACATTGTTTAATGCAAATAATTTTATTATATATTTACAAGAAATCTGACATTGGGTAGAAGAAATACCTACAATATCATTTTAATATAAAATGACAAATGACTTTAATAAATTAAAATGACCATTTTTTACTGAAAAATTAAATAGCAATCATGTAAAAATAATTTTAAATCATCAGTAAATTTTTCAGTATACTATTTTAAATATAGCACAAATGAGTTCTTTAAGCGTGCAAAGAAATAATGGGCAAAGCATATGTGTCCTCAAGGAAATATGAACGGGTGATGATGGTGAGAATGGGATTCTCAAGAAACGAGCTGAGTGGTTGTGATTTTAGGTCTTTTTAGTTATTGGTATGAATGAAGAGAATGCTGAGAAAGTGACAATAACTGGTGATAATAGTGGTACCCTGTTACCTTTTGTGGGGATGAACAGTGAATTCAATGAAGCAAAGAATGCCAGAATAATAGAGAAGGTGAGAGAGAACTGCTCAATGTTCATACCGTAAGAAGGAATGAAATAAAGACTGCGATTTAGTGCTTTAAAATTCTCTACCATTTTCTAACCCTTACAATATTTTAACCTTTGAATTTGTAGGTAATGTGAAGTAAGTTATTATATTCATAGGTTCAGACATTATTAATGTTAATGCAATTTAGATGGAACCACCATAAGGACAGTTAATTTTCACAAATAACAGGCTAAAATAATTACACATACATAGTATAGAATAAAATACAAACAACTTACACCTTAAAGAATTTAATATTTAACTAGTGATTTTTATTTAATAATATTTGATAAATTATATCTTAAACGTGCAAACAGAAAAGGGCACAATTGGTTCCACTGAGATTGTATCAAACAGCAAATCAGAGGCAGGATCTAATACATCCTTGGATTGTAAAGAATATAAGATGCACCACTTAGATATTAAATGAGATTCCTGCCAGAGAAGCTTTAAGCTGCTGTTACCTGGGTATTCATCTTGGAGAGCCAAAATTTAGGAATATGTCTTATCATTATGCAGGATTAGCCACACCAATTGTGCTTACAGTTTGTTTTGTTTTGTATTTACATTCATATAACATAGGTAGCAGTATAAAAACTTGTCAAGAAAACATCTTTTCTACAACACAAAATACCAGTATTTTGCCAAAAAGCTGTTATTCCAATTATTCAAATACTCAAATGCTATTTGTTTGAAACAAAGAGGCAAAGATACTGGCCACAAATAGCATTAACCATGCAGTTGTTAACAATACAGGTTTAACTGGATGAGGCTTCTTTGAAAGCTGCCACACATGGACAAAGTTAACTGATGTCACTTGACCTCATCCAGATTGGTCCCTGAACAATTTTTCTCACCCCAGCAATTACATAAAAATTATCAGTAAAATTACTCACTCCAAGGTCACCTGAGCCACAGCGTCCATTGAACTGTATCCATTTTCCATGAAGATCTCTGTATACCGGCCCATCTTGATTGCTTCGAGCCATTCACCTACTGATCTGTAGGCCCCAGATCCTAGTGGGCCATGCTCTGTCAATAAATTAGACACTCTAAAACACATAAAATACAAATATTAGAAGTCACACTTTAACTCTTTACAACAAAGTTTATTGTAATGTTTATTCACATTCAATAGATGTTTGAGACTATAGTATAATTATATTTAAAGTGGAAAAATATACAAATGCTAACATGAAAGAAACAATTCAAAATATAGCAGAACATAAAATCAGTCCACTGAGATTTTTTTAGCCATAATTAATGAGGCCTTATAATGGGTTAATAAGTAAATTTTCTGTGAAACAAAATAATAGCTAAAAATTTCATATAGTTTGAACAGATGGACACAAGATTTTTAGGGCAATAAAACGCCTATGTCTGATACTATTAAGGAAGATACGTGTCATTATATATTTGTCCAAGCCTATAGAATGTTCAACACCAAGAGAGAACCCTAACATAAACTACGAACTTTGAGAGATAACAACGTGTCAATGTAGGTTCATCAATCGTAATAAATGTGCCACTCTGGTGGTGGATGTTGATAGTGGGGTGGGGGAGGTATATACATGTGTGGGGACAAGAAATGTATATATATTTACACACACACACACACACACACATGTATATGGGATATCTCTGTACCTTCCGCTCAATTTTTCTGTGAACCTAAATCTGCTCTAAAAATTAAAGTCTACAAAAATTTTTCATGCATTAATTTAGATATATTTACTTCTTAGTACTGTTTTGTTATAAAACTAAGATAGAAAATGCTACCACATATAGATATGTATAGATATGTATTCATGAAAAGCCAACTGCTTCTAGCCTTTGCTAGAGGAATTCAATCCAAAAGCTATTTATCCTGTATTTTATGCTCTGATATAAGGGTGCTTGTTAATTAACCTAAGAGTTGAAGAACGTATAAAATGAAGTGTAACCCCAAATACATATGAAAACGGAATAAAATCAACTAAACCATGAGATGCTCATACCTACATTAAATTCATATTCTTTGGTTAATAATAATAATAATGATATGACTATAACTACTACCATCTCCCTCTTGAAATTCTACTCTAACTCAACATTTTGTGCATCATTATACTCTCTTTGTTGGCTACCACAATATTGTGTGCTGGATTCTCCTCAATGTCCTTTGTCTGTTACTCCTTCTTTTCCTGACTTTAATATTTGGAGGGGGCTAGGAGGTGGTCCTGTACGTTCTCTACTAAGGCTATAACTCCACTCTACTTTTGGCAATTTTACCAACTTTGGTGGCTTCAAATAACATCCACTTTTCTCAAATTTTTATCTCCAGTCTAGGTATCTTATCTATGCCTACTTTGTGCCTCCATATTTCTTTCTCAAAGGAATATTACTCCAACATGTCCAAAAACACACACCTCATCTTCTCCACATCCATCTTCTCCTGAAGTTCTCTCCATGTATTACAATGTATGATACAACAGTTCACTCTTTCCTTGTCCTCACTCCCTCACACTGTAGCATTGTGCATACTATCCATTCTCCTTCTAATATACTACACCTCTGGCCACCTCTCTCCTTCTCATTTATCACCCCCATATTTCAAGACACCATCATGTCTCACCTAAACAACCACTCTAACCTCCTAGTTATCCTCTTGAACTCTACTTTCACTCCCTACTCCAAAACCAAAGGCTCTTCTTTTTTTTTTTTTTTGAAGTTTTTATTTTGTTCAATGTCTCTCTCTCCCTACAGTGTGTTGTGTCATAAAGGCAGATACCCAGATATGTTTGCTTAATGCTGTATCCACAGCACTTGGCCCACAGCATGGCACAGAGTAGAAAGGTAACTATCTGTTGGATAAATAAATATATTGAAGTGACTTGTAATCATTAAGAAATGGGGTCTAAGAATTGTTGCAGATGAAAATATAAGAGGAAACAGTTGAAATTATGAAAGATTAAAACTTTTGGTAATAGCAAGGTCTAAAATATGACCATGAGAAGGAGAATCCACGGTAGGTTTAGAGAACAAAATCATTGAAAGAGAATAATTCAGAAGAGATATTCAAATATCATCTACATGGTTAATGAAATCATCAAATCTTGTGACATGGGTAGGGATGGAAAGAGAGACAGAGACAGTGAACCAGGTACTAACATCTTCTAGAATTATGATTTGAAGATGACTGAATAAAGGAAAGGTAATGAGTTGTATCATCTTAAAGCTATAACTGTTTAAATAAAATCTAGAAAGCTGAATCCTATATATTGCACACAAAGAAATATGAAAATTATTTAGAAATTTTTAAACTGTTCTCAAACTACAATGATGATGCTAATATAAATTAATATAATGTAAAACATTAAGAATTTACTTTTATGATTTCCTTTCTTTATGTCTATTTGTGACAATAAAACATAATTCAAATAAATAGATGAGAAAAAGCTTAATATTTTACATGACAATAAGCAATTTAAAAGCAGATATTTAGGGAACAACATAAGGAATAATTGCTAAGAAGATACATTCTCCAGTTGCTCCCACAGAAAGTTAATGATGCCTGAACAGAGATTGAAGATTTATTCCTCATTTGTACTTAAAATGATTTTTCATCTAGGAAACAAACGTTATGTCAGGATCATAGAAATTATGTAACTCTATTGGCAAATTGTTTTTCATTTAGTTCATGCTAATAGGCAGCCAATTCTGTTACCAGCATAACACTCTTTTGTATAAAAATAGACAACTGTTTCAGAATAGCAAAAATGACAATTTGGTAAGTTTTTATAGTACAAAATCAAACTAATTTATTTTTTTGAGAAGATAGTTCTGTTTTTCATATAAAGCGAAAAGAATGCTTTACAAATATACATTATTTAAATTAATTCATGTGCTATTCAGAAAAGTAAAAAAATATGCTTATTTGCTCACACAAATTCATTTATCAGTTTTAAGTCTAATTCAAGGTGCATACTAAATGATTAGCCAAACATCTGTACACAACTGGATGAGAACAAAAGGGTCCCAAAAGTTGTCAATGGTCACAAAATGAGAACACTGAAATGTACTCATATTTGAATGACAGACACTGAAATGCATTATAAAGAAATCAAGAAGTAATACTGTTAGATATGTTTCAAAATATATTAGTTCTTAATTGTTTTCCCTATGATCTTATAATCTTATTTCTTCCAGCCGCAATTACCATTCAAAATACCTGAAAATACATACATTTGAGTGTTTGTTTATTTGTTTGTTTGTTTGCTTGTTTGTTTGTTAATGCTACCTGAACCTGGCTACAATTCACATTTTTCTGCAACTGGCATGTTACACTATTAGATTAAATATAGGGGCTTCTAAGTATAATTGAATCACTTATATTTCATTCATTGTAACAGAGTAACATTATTCAAAAACTACATGCAAATAAATTAATGTCATATTGATTCATAGATTAACATGTATATAAGGACGATCTAATTGATGAAATATTTGTGGCATCAGCTACATTCAGAAAATTTCCCAGGTCTGGCATTGTACCTGCATGATGCATTAACCAGCGTCTTCAAACTACTTGGGTTACGTATCAACTTGTCCAACATGTTGACTATTTCATCAAACTTGGGCCTGCTATTTCGGTCTTTCTGCCAGCAATCCAGCATTAATTGATAGAGAGCAGCAGGACAATCCATGGGGCTTGGCAGGCGATAGCCTTCCTCCACTGCTTTAATCACCTGTATAAAGCAAAACAGAACCAGTTCCCCAACACCACAAATTTAGTACAGAATAGCTTGAGAAATTTTCCAATGTCCAACTTTCATCACATCTCATTTTTACTGCAGAAACAATAAGCATCACTATCTTTAAATTCCATGACTACTTTCATTTGCTGCAAAATATAACCACATTAAAGGAATACACTATCACAATACAAAAAGATAGGCTTTTCTCACATACTATAAATAAAATAAATGGTAATCACTTTTACCTAAAATCTTGACAAAGGGTGATTTGTAAGACTAATTGACATAAAACATCCCATTCATGTTTTATTTGTACTTGCATTCTGGAATCAAATAGAGATTAAATTTTCTAGTGATTCCTCTGAAAAGTTAATGTCTTTTTAATGAAAAAATATGTGCAGACCCACATTCCTTAAAGTAATAAAACTGCAATTTCACTTCAAAAGAGACTTTTGGATCGTAAATGATATATAAGTCAAAGGCTAAATTAGCATAACTGTCTCATGTATGATTTAATAATGTCAAGGTCTGATTGTTTATTATCATCCACTGATTTCTGTCAGGAACTTGGAATGACTGTTTAGTAGTACAGGCATTACAAATGTCATTGATTTAAAGTGTGACCACATATACGAGTATCAGTCTAATTGTGATGTTGTTTCATCGAAAACATTTGTAATGTTTCTGCTGTTGCCATAAAAATATCTTACAGAAGAGATTTGTTTATGCTACTAAACATAACAATACAGGTTTATTCAATTATTGAAATTCAAATATTTGAGTGATACCAAAATCCAATATTAATGAGTGTATTTCTCAAAATCCTAATAAGAATATTTCTTTAACAATTAAACCTAGTTATTTTTTTTCCACAAAGAATTTAGATTTGATTTAATAAATGGAAAAATCAATTAGAAAAGGAAATTTAAAAAGACAATTTTTAAGAATTGGAAAAAAAAAACAGCCTCTTTATGATAAAGGAATTGGCATCTGAACAATTGCAGTGGCACCGGCAAAGATAAAATGGTAAATTTAAGAGACATTCATGACTTAGGAATGGTGAGGAGAGGACAGCAATTGAGATCAAACAAGTTCAAGCTGATCACACTGGACGGTCGTTCTGGTAAGCACATTTATGAGAGTAGAAAATGTTGTCAGGTACAATTTGGGATTTCTTTTATTTGAGGTAAGTGAGGAACACCCAGATGGCAATTTGCAGGAATCTGGCTACAGCACAGGAGACATTTGGGCTGATAATGTAAGCGTAAGTGTCATAGGCTCTTGATCACAGCTTGCAGTCAGCATAGTTTCTATATTCCCCAGGGAAAACATAGACTAAAGGCTCTTGAGAAGCACCAATAGTTAAGTGAAGACAGAAAAATAGGAAGTACTTAAGGACTTTGAAAAATAAATGGTCAGAGAAATAATTGGGTAACTACAGGCAAAAGACCCAAGAGCCACCTAACACCTTAGTTAACTTACTTAACTCAAAAACAATATAATCAATTAGAAGGCAAGCAACGGAAGAAAATATTTACAACTATAACAAATGTTTAACATATCTAACGTATTAAAAGTTCATGCATATTGAGATGTAAAATAATAAAACATAAATGAGAAATAGATACTTAAGCAAAAATTTACAAAAGAAAAAAAATGCTAAATAAATATTGAGAAAATACTTATTCTCACTGGCAATCCAATAAATGAATATTTAAAAAAATAAAAATTATCATTTGCACTTACATATTAATAGGAAGTTTATTTATTTATTAGTTTGCTTATGGAGTCTCCATTGCTGATAAGGACAGTTGTTATTCTCTTTAATAACATAAATATACCAAAATAAAAAGTCCTGATATAAGTAGTTTAAATCATAAAATATTTTCATTGTGCAGGGAGAAGGGTAATTTTTATTTACTTAAAACCTAATTTATTTTATAATGTGCTTTTTTCTTCTGAAGCTGATGCCAATTAGTTCTATTTTTTTCTTCATCACCTATTAAAAAAAAATTTCCTTTATGGAACAATTAGTCTTTACATGTGATTAAGAAATGAATAAATTAAATTAATTCATTAGTTTTAAAGCAACTTAATGAGTTATTTGATTTGTGAAGTTATTTCCAGAATCGATTACTTAATCAGTTTTATTTCCCGGTAAATTTATATTTAGAAATATATTGTCCTGTCTCTAAATTAACTTAGAACTTGGTTCACATAATTGAGGCATTGAATTTAATTCTAAATTCACCATTAGATTTTATCTTTAAAATGGATTTGGAACTATAACTCTAGATTTTATATTTAGGAATTTTGAAATGATTTTTCTTTTCATTTTAAACTATTGTCTTCTTCATAGCTTTTGGGGAGACTAGCATTAACCCTTTGGTGGTCTGTGAAATGCTGGAAGTCTACCAAAATATACCAAAGTGCCATTTAGACTATTCATTTTACCATACAACTTATAACATACGACTGAATGAATTATAATCACAATTGACTTCCTCATTACTATTATATTTGTTAATCTAGGTGGCTGATATGAACAAAAGAAAGAAAAAAAAAACAGCAACCAGAATTTTTACAGACAATTTGGCACCAGTTCAGATGTGCTATATCTGAAATATTATTATAAGCTATGCATTTTCTTGGCATTGACATGTAAATCAGTAGTCTGAACACAACTTAAAGAATGCTGTCTTTCCTTCCAATTCTTAAAATCCCAACACTGAGCTCCCGATATGGCATTATTCATTTGGTAGCAAGTTTGCTCTCTTGGGTTCCTTCCACCATGTAAGTAAGCATGGGTAGGTTCTTCTATTCAGGTATATATACCTATTCTAAATATAGTTTTTTTTTCCTGCCCACAGAGCCTCAGCCAACAGAATGCTTGATTCACAAACATGGAAGCCAACATAACTTATCACCTAACCAGGGTACGCCCTTCACAGTGACAGATGTATAGCGTATCACATACTTCATGATGTGCCAGTAAATATGCAACAGTTGGTTGCTGCTGAGGAGAGACAGATTTGTAACATTTCACACTTATGTGATGTAAACACTTTTTCTCTGCCAATTGTCAGTTACCACCACAATCTCATTCAGGTAGAAATGTTCTTAAAATTTGCTAGTTGATATGAGCTGTGTCCAGCACACTAGTACACATAGGTCCTCATCCAGAAGCAGCTAGCATCATAGAATGCTAGAGTGGTCTTTTAAAGGCACAGTGGGTGCAGCAACTTGGAGACAATACTCTGAAAGGACTGGCTGCTATTCTTCATGTTGCAGTTTTGTATTAAATCAGAGACTTCAGTGTTGTGCTCTGTTCCCAGTAGCTCTTGCCAGGGAACACAGCAAGGGTCCCACTGAAATATAACAATTAAGAATTACTAATGCCTAGGGACAAGCAGAAGAGAAGAGGAGCCACCATGATGTCAAGGATCATTGATACCGAGCAGCAGGAAGCAGTTGGGCTGCTTTCTCACAGCTGGGGCAGGGAGAAATTCACGTGAACCCCCGAAGAATGAACGATTGGTTTAAACCACCAGTTAAGTCATCAGATAGTGGAGGAAGGAGAGGATAAGAATGAGGTGAGGTCCTGAGATCAACTGAAGCTGTAGTGGCTGCAGTCCAACCAGTGACCTGCCTCTTCTGAGCTCCCCCTCGGGAAGAGAAGCCCACTGAAACATGGAACAGATGCTCCCTGAATCTGTGTGGAGAAGAAAGTCTGTGCTACAAAAGGGATAGAGCATGGCAACAAAGAAAATGTGTCTCTAAGGTCTTCACAACAGGGATGGTAACTGACCAACAAACCTAGATGCTGTGCTCCAAAACCCTTCACCACATTTGCTCCAGGCCATGTTTTGTGCAGGTTACTCCCAGTCAATTAGTGACTTGTGTCTATGATATATGAGACTCCTATGACAGGCAGTGTTAGATTTGGGACTCCCTGGAAGTCCTAAACTTTCTTAGAACTGCAATTCTGTCTGAGATGCTTGCACCCAATTATCCTTCTTTCCAGCTCTACTGTACCTGGGGACAGACGTGTGACACAGTCTGATATCTCTCACAGCTTCCCTCCATCCCTCTATGATTCTTAAAAAAAAAATTCCCTCTAATAATATTCATGCATATTTATTTCCCTCTTGGCATACGTTTCTTGGACGACCTAGACTAGCCCATGGATTATGTCGTGATGCAGACTGCAGGTATATTATTTATATTCATACTTACTATATATCTGCACATTAAGAATTGTTATATAAATTTTACAGATGAAACACTTGAGGTTCCAGAAAGTTAAGTAATTGTCATGTTTAATAGCTAAGAAGTCTAGGACTCACATTTAAGTCCTTTTGACATGCAAACCTATGGTCTTCCCACCCTGGTGCTGAGTCACACCATTGGAATTAGAAATAATGACCCCCACCCCTAAGAAAATATTTTAGGAGGGTCATGAACCTTACACCATAGAATCATAATTCTTTGCACTATGTGTGTGCAAAGAAATATATACATACACACACAGTAAACACACACACAATTAAAATGAGCTATTTTGGAAGATAGTGCATTCTTCATCACAGGAAATGTGGAAATGTAGGCTTGATAACTGAGTGGCAGGAATACTGTAGGAAGAATTTGAGTATCAGCTGTATGTTTCAATGAATTTAGTTTTATCTCGGGTTCAAGTGCCTATGTTGCTAGGTATTTACCTGAAATCTCACATATAAAAGCCGATATGAAGCTCCCCATAAATGACGAGTTTATGAATATATTTCTGAAAATAATCTCAGATAACATAGAAATAGTTTCATAAATATCAGTTTTGTTTTAGGATTTATTTCCTATTTTCAATAATTATTAAATATATAGTATGTATTTTCCTTAGTATATCAATCTTAGATCAATAGAGTTCCAGAGATTAAAGAGATCTTAGAAATCCTCTATTCAAATTCTTTCCCTTTATAATCATTGAAACTGACCCAGAGTTGCAGAATCCAAAATAAATAGTTTTAAGTCCAAGATTTTTGTTTTGTTGTTGTTGTTAAATAGCAAGGTACAGAAATTTTGAGCTGAACTATTGATATTTCTCTGTGTACCAATTTTTCAAAAGTGGTAAGAATTATTATGAAGATACCAGTTCCTAAATAATTACTTACATCCCAGAACAGCATTATCTTTAGAAGGCCAATATTGTCTTAGAAGACCAATATCCTTTGATCCAATACACTCATTTTATATATTATTACACTGAAGCTAAAAAGTTAAATTATTCTCTCACTGTCAAATCTTAGCAACATGCAGTACTAGGATAAGAACTAAATTCCCCATGCTCCTACTTTAATTACAACATGCTATTTCTTTGTTTTACCACAAAATATTCCAGTAATATAAGCAATATATGTATTTCTTATACATATGCAGATATACATATAAGGGTACTTCAAAAGATGGTGGAAAATAGGGCCAGCCCCGTGGCGCACTTGGGAGAGTGCAGAGCTGGGAGTGCAGCTGCGCTTCCACCGTGGGTTCGGATCCTACATAGGACTGGCCGGTGCACTCACTGGCTGAGCGTGGTGTGGGTGACACCAAGCCAAGGATTGTGATCCCCTTACTGGTCACGAAAAAGACAAAAAAAAAAAAAAAAAAAGATGGTGGAAAATAGAATTAAAAGGTAATACAAATCTTTCCATAAAGTTTTTGAAGTACCATACTAAATAGATAGATATGGACACACAGATAAAAATGTATTTGTGGGAAAAAGAAAGCACAGAAAACTGGCCTCATGAAAAAAAAGAAAAAACAAAAATTATTCTAAGTTGAGAAAACTGAAAAACAGACTACTTAAATGAGTTTTTAAAACTTTTGGAATCTACGTATTTAGTAGAATCTATGCATCCATATGTTCTGCAATACATACAAGAGAAAGACACTGTCACTAAATATAAAAATGCAAAGATATGAAATCTTTAACTTAGTTTTCATTTTAAGTTCTGAAAAATGTTGACATTTAAAATGTTTGTTATCAATAAGTAAGATTCTGCTGACTACAGGATATTATCTTAACTTTCCAAACTTGAATTAGAGTTCATGGTCTGGTATTTACCTAATATCATCTTAGTTGTTATAGTGTATTTTTATTATGTGTTGTTACAGTTTTTCTCTGTAATGGAAGTGGCAATCCTAAATCAAAAGAAATCTCCTCCTTCTTTCTGTCCCCCTGACACAAAGGAAGGTATCCTCTGTGAGATTTGGATTATGCTGCCTGTCTTGGTAATGTAACATTTTCATGGTGGCAAAGCCCATTTAGAATCAGATAGCATCTGGAATGTAGAGATTATGGGATCTTTCATTTGAAATTGCCAAATCAGTACTTCTACTTTGCTCTCTGAGAATTTTTTTCCAAAGAAATATTTAGTGATTATGATCTTCAAATACAGTTGATCTGTCATGTTTCTCAGATACAAATTTGGATAAAAATTAGGACATATAAGAATTAATGCTGTATCTAGAAACTAAATGCCACTGATGATTTAAACTTGCTGAGGAAATAACAAAGCATGTATTTGACGTTGTATTAAAGGCAGGCATTTTAGAAAGATATGTAACTACACAATTATTTTCTGTAAATCTCATTTAGATTCTTGTGATACCTGACAAAGACCAAAATGTCAGTTTTTATTCTTTTAGCTTCCTGAAAATATTACATCAGAATTTTCTTGTGTTTTTCTAAATAATTTGAAATAAAGTTATCTGCTAAAAATATTACATCAGAATTTTCTTGTGTTTTTCTAAATAATTTGAAATAAAGTTATCTGGAAGAGTATCAGGACACTGAAATGGCTGAGGTCAGGGAAAAAAATTTAAAGGAAAAAGGAATAATAAAAATAACAAAGAATGAACCTATGAGAGTAAGACTGGATGATGCTACAATGCCAAAGAAGCTATAAAACTTCAAATAAAATAACTTTTATTCACTTATCTATGTAACTTTTATCCTTGTAACTTTATAGTGCCTACCCACAATGAGCAGTATCATTGGTCCAGCCCTTGATTATGGGATTGACCAATGAGATTTTTGCAGACATATTGCAGGTTGAGATGCAATTGGCACATTCTTGCCCTTCAGCCATGTGCTAAATGAGATCACACTTGGCTTAGCCTGCTGGTCTCAGGAGGAAGATGAGAGACTTGTGGAGGAGAGCCAAGGTATATCAGTATAAGCTCCAGAAGCATGAGCAAGCCTAGCCAAGACCAGCAGAAATACTTCTGAACATTCACCTAGCACCAGGGTCTACTTTGGTCTATCATTTTATCTGTGACAGATACAACTATATCAGGCATAATTGCCAATTATTTGGATGATCTGCTGCACAGTTGGGAAAGACAAATAATTCTGAGTGACAGAATCAGAATTTAAAATATCTCAAGTGTGAGGAATTACCTAGGCAAATAAGAGACAAATATTTTCCTTGAGTGAAGTAGACACATGGTAGGGACCAGCACATAAGGGCTTACTGTCAGGAGAGAACAAAATTCTTCACAAAAATTAAAGGAAATAATTGCATTGAAATAACCTTGTGATAACTGTAGGTCATGTTATCATTTGGCATTTATCTGGAGAACAGAAAGTAGTAAATGGGTCTGCTCTTAGTCTAGAATAGATCAAGCCAGAGTAATCACTATATATTAAACTGAATATTTTATATCTTATATTCAGTCAGAAGGCTTGTGTGGGATCCCTGATTAGAAATGAAATGGAGAAAGCAGACACTGATTCAACTGGAGACAGTGTGGTTGTTAGATACAAAAAATTTTGCAGAACTGGGTTGAAATTTCTTGTATATCTTTTATTATTTTTGTAACCTTAATAAAGTCATTTAACTTCTCTAAGCCTCAATTTCATAATTGGAAAACAGGACTAATAAGAGCATCTCCCTGATGAATTGTTAAATATAAACATATATAACAGGAATTGATTCTTTTGCCGCTGTCCTGCCCCTAAAATCATAAAGCTAAAGACAGTAAATACTACGTTCTCCCAGATTTAGAGATACACATTCCAGACTTAGAGTTACCCCTCCCCTGCTGTAGCTAAGTGAGTGCAACACAAAGAAAACCAACTGTAGTACTCAGGTATCTACAAGAAGGTGAGACTCACTGCCTTCCTTGCTGGATGCTTGCAGAGAGGTAGGAATCCTAAACCCAATTTGCTGCTGCTATCAAAGAAGGATACTATGAAATCATTCTTGGGAAAGCCGATGTGTGACCTGGCTTCTCACCTGAGGAAATGTGAAGAAGGCTGGCTGGCTGGAGCAGCCCACAGTAGTAATCAAAAATGAGGAAGTCCTTGTAGAGCATCCAACAAGAGTGTGTTTCCCTCAGGAAGAGCAGACACATGCATGGTTCAATAAGAGACTGTGAGGTGGGGAACAGGTGGCAGGTGAGAGGAACTGTGGGAAGCCTGTTGGAGTACATCCTCCCCCTTGAGGGGCCTTGCAGAGAGAAGGCCTTTGTCCAGGGTCTTCGGAAGAGCTCAGACATGTGTCTCCTTAGAGAACTAATGCCTCGGTGTCTGCCCCACAGGAGGCATCAACAGCCTAACATTATGAAAACAACATTTCCCTTTCTCTTCTACCTCTCCACCCAGATCAGTCCTCAAAAATCCAGATACAGACTTTAGCAGTGGAGGAGCAGCAAAAATCTGATGATTCTTCTTTCCCACTCTAGGTACCTAGGGTCAGGCTGGCCCTGCAGTTGTGGACAACATTTTGAAATGGATGTTGACTTTTAGACTCAACCTGAATTTTTATATAGGAAAGTGAATGTTAATTACTTGCATGAGTCTGTTGTATCAAGAAAATTCAGCTGGAGATCTAAGGTATCTGTCTAAAAACCCCTAGGGCATGGGAAGGGAGATTTTATAGAGCATGAATGAAATAATAGGAGAAAAAAAATAAATGTTTCAAATAAGTACACTATTGAACTAAGACTGTTCAATATACTGGTTTTACAAAGAAGTAATGAGATAGTAGTAAAGCACTTAAAACAGTATACAGCATGTAGTAAGGGCTCAATAAATGTTAGATGTTTATGCAACTGTTACTTGAAGGAAAAATATTAAATTTCCATATAATCCAAAATGGACAGAGATGTATTAATTAGTAATGATGAAAAATTACAAAAGCAAAGACCAAAGAGCCATGTGTCAAGCATTATATAATAAACATTCTGAACTTGAATAGAAGATTCTTTCATGGACCCTTTAATGCTAGAATTCTATTATTCTAAGCATAAATTATTTTGCCATTGTGGGAAAAAATCTGTTTTTTCCCCACATTAAATAGACAATGCAACTCTTCTTAGATATATTAGATCACACACACACACACACATTTAAATTTAAAGAAACACGGACTATTCCTTTTTATCCTCTATGTGCATCCACTATTAAATCAATATCATCCATCCTTTTGTTTGGAGTAATAGTTGCCTCTATCAAATGCAAATCATAGAAACTTGCCTGTCAGTATTCATTCTTTGATGGCTCTCTCTTCATCTTTGAAAATGATTCTGACATAAATTGAGTGAAACATCACTACAGTACAGCCAGAAGTGTCTGGCAAGGGACTGAGTTTTTCTGTATAACTTGCTATCCTTTGTACTAACTCATTTTGAGCTTCTGCATAAAGGACATTTCAACAACAACAAAACAGATCAGAGAGGGTAAGCAAGGTATTTCATTTTTTGAAGCAACTGCCAATTTTAGAAACGAAAAAGGATTATAAGTGTTTTGACACAGAGAACAAAGAATTTAATTCTCAACATTAGGAAAAGTAGTTCCATACTCACATCTTGATTGGTCATCTCCCAATAGGGTCTCTCTCCATACGATACAACTTCCCACATTACTATTCCATAACTCCAGACATCACTGGCGGAAGTAAATTTTCGGAAAGCTATAGCTTCTGGGGCAGTCCATCTGATTGGAATTTTGCCTCCCTAAAGTTGAAAAGGGTAAAAAAAAATCCCCACATACTTCAAATGTATCCAGGAATACTGCTGCCTCACTGAACAGATCTAGAAAGAGATGTAGCATTTTTAAGTGAATCTGTTTGACAGCATGCAGTGTCTTTTCACATTTCTCAGCCCATAAGCACTTGTAGACTAACTACTAATTGGCTGTCTGGAAGGTTTCTAGTTTAAATTCTGTTTGACTGCTGAACACATATAGGATCCACATCTCAATTACAGTCCTCAGGACAGTAGCTCTAAGTAGGGGAAAGGCGCAGTCAGGCAAATCAATAGGGTATACTTTCATGACTTTCTGAGAGTAAAGGATTCAAATTCCCTGGGCGCCTTTTCTTTTTTCTTTAATACAGAACCTGTAAGTGGAAAGTATAGGTTTCTGAATGCATCCCTGTGGAGTCTAACAGTTAATAAGACGTGCATGACAATCAGATATATTAAAAGCTTAAAGTTATAATTTTATTTGATATTGCGTTATTTTGTTTTTTTAGGCTTGCTTTTTTCCTACTCTTCTTTGGGCATATTTTTGTGTTTGTTTAACTAAGAGATGGGTATCTTGCTTAATTCAACCAAATTAAAAATTATTAAAATTGGATTATAGGGAAAAACTTACCATATTATAACTTTGAGGTTTTTTACATGGAAGAAAAATCAGTTTAGTATTTTTATGATTGATTTCTCTTAGTTAACACAATAAGCACTTTCATATTTTTTCATCCTTTAAGGTAAAATGTTTTTCTCATAATTTTAAAAGCAGGCAAACCCAGGTAACCAAATATTTCATCTATAAGCAAATATAGATTGAAAGAGAGAGAGAGAGAGGGATGGAGGTTTTGAATATTTTCTTGTAAAAAGACTAACATATGCCTTCCCATTATGTAAGAAGAAAAGTTTAATTCACATACTAGAAAAAAAAAATTCAAATTGCTGTTTATGAACAAAAGTTCAAGATATAGAAGGAAACAACAGTTTTTTGTCATGCTTGAAATGAATCTGGGAGTTGAAGCAGGTTTGAATTATTTGCTCTTTAGAGATGTGGGAACACCATTTGAAGAAGACTTTCCTAAAACTTATTTTTGTTAAATAGTCATACGCAAGATCATACCGTGAGTCCTAGCTAGGCATAGAGTTGTGACATTCTTTAATTAGTGATTAATAGACCTCTTAGAGTTGTAGTTTTTTTGATTATGTTAAACTTCAGCCCATCATTTTTCTCCTGGTCCTCTGACCATCATATGCCACCAATATTACCTGAAGTTCCCTTATATTCTCATCTCTCAAGTATACAGATTTTCCACAAACTGCCACTACACCCCATTTCAGAGGAGTAAGTCTTAAGAGTCTCAGGATTTCTCTCTCTCCCCTGACTCTGCAGTGTGACACATGGAAAAATCTACCTCTTACAATAAACTAAGACACCAATCACAGTGGCAATGGACTTTTTTATAACCTCAATCTTGTTTAGGCCAAGTTTATTAAGTGTAAGTCTAATCCCAAGAGAATTCTTAATCGAGGTTTCATTTAATGTAAATAATGCCGATAATAGGTCTAGAAGAGGAAAGATATACCATCAATTAATTTATTGATTTATTAAACTGACCTTTGCAAGGCTTTGTTTGCTTAGATAAGTTACTCTTGTCCCTCAGTATAGTACATATCCCCAAATACCCATGAGTCAAAAAAGCAACAATGTAAAAAAAAAAAAAAAAAAAGTCCTATAATCGATGAGAAGAATTTATTGTTAGACTATCAGTAGATGTAATTTTAAAAAGTAGAGTAAGAAAACATGTAAGACATCTATTTTAATTTGAGAACGAGAGGTGACAGAAGTGTTCTGCATTGAAACAAAAGTTTACCAAATTGTATGGTGAAAAGGATACAATGATAAATACCCATCTTCAAGAAGTGTTTAGACATTGAAGACATTTAACTTGATGATGTTGAAAAGATTTAGAATTAAACAAATATAGTTTATCACAAGGGATTCAAACTCAAGAAATACAATCTCATAGACCACCCAGAAAATTCTGTTGTAGCAACGTTCACAGTTTTCCACAGGAAAGGAAAAAGTGTCAATTATGTACCATATCAATTAGGCAAGCAATTACTTTGCCGGAAAAGAGTATTGATTTATACTAATTATGACAATGTGTGTTAGTGTCCAATTTTCCATAGATGTGGGCTTAACAGTTTTCATAGTATTTAAGAAAAGTAATGAGGCATTACAACATCTCCAGTAAATCACAGTTTTTTGAAGGAATAGCTCTCTAATTTCCCACAATGTAAATCTTTAAAATGTAGGGTCTAGATATTCTCATATTTATTTTACAAGTGAGGACACTATAGTGCAGAGAGTTAAACTGTCAAATCATGCCATATACATTTATGTATTCATATGCATGTGTATACACGCACAATATATGCATACTTATTGCTTTTAATGTAGCAGATTCTGTCTTGAACTTTTTTATTTTACATTTAAAACTTTATGTAATTTTTACATTGTTGTATCCATTCTAAACTCAGACTTCTTATTTTTAGTATCTTTAGGGAAAAAATGAATTGAGACTCAGAAGGTGAATACTTTTATCTGAGTTTAATATTTGAATTTGCTTATACATAAAAATAAGAATTACTTGGACTTGTGATTCTCTTTCAGTCTCTCTCTTCCTGACTTTGTTGGAGAAGTGCCCTTTTTGGTATTTCCTTTAAAATCTTTAAAAATTAAATGCCTCTTGTCCAGTGTTTCAGAAATGCATTCTGTTAGATCTTACCCTTGTGGTGTAGGCTGCCTCAGGATCATCTTCCAGTATCCTGGAAAGTCCAAAGTCAGACACTTTGCACACAAGGTTACTGTTGATTAAGATGTTTCTAGCAGCAAGGTCTCTGTGCACATAGCCCATGTCGGAAAGGTATTTCATTCCTGCAGCGATGCCTCTCAGCATGCCAACAAGCTGAATCACAGTGAACTGCCCGTCGTTTTTCTGTAAAGACAATGCAGAAATATAAGTCTAACACCACCAACCACTGGGAGAAAATAAGAAAGAATCTTCCTTCAATCCCCAGATTAATACTATCACCCACCAAAATTCATATGCAATTTTTATATAAAGAAGAATGGAAAATGTTAGGAAATATATAGTTAATTTGGTAATGTATATCTGTCCTCTGCCTGGTCCAAGCAGATAAAGGTTTTGAAAGCCCTTGTCAAAAATTTCATTTAGTTGCCCTTTTCTGCATTGTAACTCCTTTATTCTCAGTCATCAGAGGAGTTTGTTCATCCCTCCAATGTAGGAGCTGCCTTGGGTTAATGCTGCACATATTTTGAGGCAGTTTAAAAGAAGCTAGCTGGAATAGGCATATGAGGGAAAGATGAAGTGGCTAGAGGAGATAAGGGAGTTTCTGCAGCAGCAGATGGGAGAGGGATGACTGAGCAATGGCTGGGACAATGTTAGCAATTCTTGGAAGTCTGTCATTTTTTTCAAGGGCACTGAACTTAGTGCATTCACATAGACTCATAAAACTCAACCCATAGTTATTTTGAAATAATGGAGTAATGTGACTTTAAGAGACTGTAGAATATGAAGATACAGTTAAGAAATTCGGCAATAGAATCCTGTAGAGGCTGGAGATTGGATGGAGATTTGTCTTATCAGTGAACCGTTATCATTGCACTCTTATAACTGTCAGCAATGCCATTGTCCCATCCCTCTTCCTAATCAATAGTGATAGTCAATCTACTGAAGTTACAAACTGACAGCCTACAGGTTTAATCAGGCCTGCAAATATGTTATATTGTCTGACATAAGCTATTTACTAATAATGTGAATTTTCAACATTTAAAATTTGGAGACTCACATAAAATTTTTTTTTTTTTCCTAAAACCTAGAAATTCTGACAATATTGACTGTTGACTGCTGGTGCAAGTCGTGCTCAGTTGGGTTATCAGCACTTATAAACTACCATATGCAACCTGTAGTAATGATTTGCATGGACCCTTTACATGTTTTTTCTTGCTCTGCCTGATATTATGTACTTTGAGAAAGTTAAATAATTAATTGTAAAAGCTTCTTTTTTTCCTTCCCCCTTTTCCTTTTCTTCCTCTTCCCTTCCTGTCTTCTTTCCATCATCCCTCCTTCCCTTCCTTTTTTTCTTCATTCCTTTGTGCCCTCTTTCCTTTTCTTTGTTAACCAATTCACATACACTTACATAAAATTGTACATCCATAAAACTCATTTTTAATATGGATTTGGTTTTGCATAAGTTTTCTGAGAAGAACAATTTTCAAACCAAAGTTAATTTTGGAGTATAATTATTCTGACTCCATATATTTGTCCTATTTAAAACTTTAGCTTTATAATGGCACAATTTCAACCTCAACATCATGGCAAATATATAAGTAATACTTTGAATAACTAAATTAGTCCCAAATCCTACCTTTAAAAATGTGTCTAAAGAGCCATTCTCCATATACTCTGTCACTATCATCACGGGTTTACCTGAAAAGAAAAGAGTGATATAAACTGCCACTCTTTAATTTTGCATTCCTGTCTAGAAAAAGCTTACCCAGAAGGTTTTTTTTTAGTATCCAAATTATGTGTATATTCATTTTAAAAATGTCCTCTTTGAGTAGCAAGTAAGTTCCTGACATCAAGACTCAGCGTCAGTTGTATGGTTATCCAAGGTGGGGTCAGTGAGAAAAAAGTATTACAAGATTGACATTTAAAGTAACATGCCCACAATTGTCAATATCAGAACCAATTTATGTAGAAAATGAGCTTAAGGATGAATTCTCCGTTTTAGTGGAGGTAATGATATAATATCCAGCAAAGCACTTGGAACATATTCATCTTTCCCACAATTCTAAAAACTCCTATCCTGTCCACTGCCCTGTTTATGGTCCCCTGAGTATATGTTGTACCTTATTTACTACTTTTATCTCTATGTTCTTGTAACTCCTTTTCTTAGGGCTACCTTCCTTTCTCTTCTCTGCAACACACTTATAATCCCTATCAACCCTAATGATTTCATTCTTCAAAGCCCTATTCTACTTTATATTGTAATGTGAAAACTTCTTTAGAAATCATCACTTCTGATGGAAGAGGTTCTTCTCCTTTCACAGCTGATATGGAAGTGTAGCCTAGAGGATAGCTGAACAGACTGGAGACTTGCTTCTTGGCTTTTAATCCCAGAACAATCACTCACTATCATGTGATTTTGGGCAAGTCGATTATCAGCTCTGTGCCTCAATTTTCTCATCTCTAAAATTAGGATAACAATAGCACCTACCTCACCAGGTTGTTGTGAGTGTCCACCAAGTTGGATGGTTATCCAGGGCAGTTAGAATAGTATCTACCACTTAAAATTTGCTATGTGAGAGTTAAAAATTACTATTTTATAAATTTTACCAATGGTATCTGTGGGTTACCAAGTATCTGTGGGTTAACTTCCTTGCTAAATGTAAATCTATAAGATTAGATCTTATCCCCTGTAAAACTGTGACATTTTGTACACAGTATGTCTGTAATATAAGATAAAAAACACAAGATAAAAAATTCCTGGTATATGAGAAAATAGCTAAAACATGGTTGCTAATTTTATTCCACATTAACCTCACTATATTTTAAAACATGCTCCTTTACTCTTTAATAAAAACAAATTGCATAAAATAACTATTAATTTAAACTATTTTGAGTTAAGAAAAAGGAGACCGATAACAAAAAAATTACTTATATGTCCATTAAATACCTTTCCATATTATGAACTGAAACAATATCTATACAATTGTGAAATGCATTATAATTAACTTAATGACATTCTCCAGAAGTGCTTCCGTATTTTACTCGAGAATTGATTGATTCAGGTCATAGAATTAGGGCTTGCATATTTATATATACCATGTTATGCATATACCATGTTATATATATATTTGCACTTCATACATATAAAGTTTAGCAATTACATACAAAAAAGAAGTAACAGGGAAGAAAAAGGATTTTTCATTCCTAGATCACATAAAACTCACTGTTTAGAATAATAAGATAGGACAGTCTGATTTCTTACTTAAATAATTATCTTCTTTTAAAATACCGGGGTACATCAAAAAGCTCATGGAAAGGTTTGTACTAACTTTTAAGTCTATTTTTCCATGAACTTTTTGAAGTATCTGAGTACCTCAGAGTACTTTAGCATCCCTCTAATAGAATGTGACAACTGCATTACAAAGGCAGACACATCCTCTTTTAAGTTTATAAAAGTTATAAAAAAAGTTTGTCTAAAATAATTCATTTCACTACTGAAATATGTTTATAGATGCCTATGTTAGGTAATACATCATATATGCAGAGAATGTGCATTTGAGATGTCACCTGATCTGATCACTGAAGAATGAAGGGGTCACTGGTGTAACGAAAGGTGACTGGTATTCCAGAAAGAGAGGCAGCATGTGCCAAGGCATCTTGTCATGAAAGAGCCAATCAAGTTCAGACATGGCTAGAGCCTTGACCTTTTTCTTTTTTTAAATCAGGAAGTGGCAGGAGATGCAGTGAGGAATATTGATTCTAAAACTAGATAGAAATGTAATACCTTAGTAGAAAAAGAAAAGAATGATTTAGATTATATTTGCAAATGGCTCTGACAGCACGAGAAAAAAAAAGATAATTTTTTTTCTCCTTAGTATAATTGTAATCTATGTTCGAAATAGAGAAATGTTTCCAATTAAAAAAAAAAAAAGACACAGCAAACACAACAATATTTTGAACTTGTTAACAGATATGATGTTGATTGTGGGGGAGGGAGAAAAAGAGGGGGGGAAGGAGCAATTGGTAAAGGGACGTGAAAATCAACTACATTGCATATTGATAAATTTTAAAAAATAAAAATAAAAATAAAAAAAATAAAATTGATTTTAATGATGTGGCCGCACCCATTCTAAAGTACCCCAGGTAATCTCTAAAACTCTAAAAATTCTGCTTTTGGTATTTTTGTCCCATTCTCACATCTCAGAGTCCATTTCCACCTTTTATTCCTGTCTGAAAACTTTTCAAGAATCCAAAACTAATGTATTTCTCCCAGGGGTGACAGCCAAACCGTTTTGTCATGGGTACCTACGTGTCAGAGTTTATACCAGCCACAATGCTGGTGCACCTGCTATAACGGACATTACCCTTTCATTTGCCTGATTTCAGGAATTTGGAATTTGGGGATGAAGATGAGGACTCATAAAAAAGGGGACAGATAGGTAATTCTAGTATCAGCTTTTTACCAAACAGCACAGAATCATTTCAATAAATTTATAGTCAAAAGAGTATTCATCTGCCGAACATTATTCCTGATCTAACTAAAAGGCGTAGAGTTTCTGGAATCATCCTGTGATTCCAGGAATCCTCCTTGTGTGGCTCTTTGACTCTGCCTGAGTGCTCCCCTCTTACAGAAATGCATTGAGGGGATTATCACATTATAAAAAAAAATGAAAAAAACAAATTCCAATAGACATCCAGGGAACATGGTTTTAGCTTTCCCTACTTGGGAAATCTCAGTTCATACCACATGAGCAGACACCTTGTCCATCAAAGCAAAACATGAATTTGTCTATTATTATCTGCTTTACTCCATGCCATTTATGTATGTGGGGCTTTCCCTATATTTCTACTTACAACACTTTCAGGTTCTTTCTTCTCTCTTTTTCTAGAATTTCTTCCTTCTGACTATCTTCTTATGTTTTAGACTCTGTTCTTACAGTTATGGGCCAGTGGTAAATATTTACCATTGCTCACCTAAGGTCTAGTGAGCAGGATTTGGATAGAGTTCCCATGTAAAAGTACTTCTTTCTTGGGTAAATTTGTATTTTAAATTCAACCCAAAATTCACTGAACTTAGAAGACAAAATTTATACCCAAAAGAGAATGTGCCAATCATAAAATTTATTAACAATGAATAATATACATCTGTAAAGAAAAAGTGATTACTTGTGGGGAGATGGACACCTAGTATTCATCCTGTAAGATTTTTCAGACAGCATCACTTATTTTTAAAAATCATACTAATTATTTATGACAATGTAGGTTGTAATGTCAAAACCAAAAAAAGTTATTTGAGAAATATGGTAGGGACCCTAAAACACCTCTCATATTTCAGGTGATGGGAAAAAAGCAATTAAAATGAATGTCTGCAAACAAGTATGATCTTCTTTTGTTGACAAGAATAAAGACACTTCAGGACCCATTTGATTGTTTTTCATGCTTGAGTCATTTTAATGCTAATTACATTTAGTTTGGCTTATGTTTTGTCTCAGTTCCTGCTAGTCTGCAAAAATGACATAGCAATAATTAATGTGGCTTACTCTAACCCTTGTAAATTCAATAAAACTGTAGAAATCATTTCCATTATCTAGCTCAAAGTACAAAGAGTAGATCTGCCAATAATTTTGAAAGCATATTATCAAAAATCCATATAAAAAGAGCTCATAAAGTATGTCAAAACATGACTTTAATCACAGAGGAGAGTTTTTATATTAACTTTATATTATTTACTGAGGGCCCAGGCCAGGCAGAGTCTAAGAAGTAACAGAAACACATTATTTGTGGAATTCACCTTTATTATTGACAATCATGAAAGAGCTCCAATTATTAATTTATCAAGTGCCTACTCTTTACAAGGCACTATGCCTTTATGAATTGATATTAAATTCCCATAAACATGATATTAGAATAGATATTTTTCAGAGAAAGAAAGTGAGGCTCCGAAAGTTTCAATACATTACTCAGGTTGACTAGAGCAAGTCATATAAGGAGCAAAGTTAGGAATTAAACTTATATCTATCCAAATACAAAGGCTCTTCTCCTTTCTTCCATTCTATGGTGCCTATGATTTTAAAATATTTGTTTTAAATTTCATTTTAAAGTCTCCCAAGTGTTTATTTTTTTCCGTTAATACAAAACTGGTGATCATGACTATGTCATACCAAACTATTCAGCCATAGATGCAGATCTGGTAGGAATTCAGCTTCTTTCAATAAATATTCAATTCTTATATATGGCTATTTCTTATATATGTTCCAAGTAGTCTATTGTGAAATAATCTTGAATTCTACCTACAAGAGTTATCTAATCTAGTTAAACTCATAGAATTGGAAAGTAGAAAGGCAGTTGTCAGGGGCTATGGGAGGGGAGGGAGGAAAGTAGGGAGGAAAGTTCAATGAGTAGAAAGTTGCAGGTATGCAAGATGATAAAGTTCCACATATCTGCTTTCTAATATTGTGCTGAGAATTAATAGTACTGTGCTGTATACATGCTGTACACTTAAAAATTTAAGAAGCTATATCTCATGATACGTGTTTTTTACCACAATTAAAAAAATGTTGGTTTACTTATTATGTGATTTTTTTTGGTGCTAATATTTATCACAAATTTCCAAAAGAGGAAAGAATATTCCACTTCCTGTGATGCAATCCTTTTCCATAAAATATCTCATACTTAGGTAAAATGCTTCTCAGAGTGTA